GCTCTCAGAAAAAAACTACACTGAGAGCTCTCACAACTCACCGACCCACTCACGCACTCACGCGCGCGCGCACGCACACACACACACACACACACACACACACACACACACACACACACACACACAGGTTTGATCACGTCATTTAGCAATTTAAAATTGCTTTTAAAACCAATTTCCTTGTTAACCATAACCTAAACTTGTAATTCCAACTTTATGTATAAAGCATGTATCATATCATATAAACACTTTATCATTTTGACTGAGAGAACTTTGACCACTCACCGCTCACATTTAAATTTTGCAGATTTCGATAGAAACAGGCTCTGCTTGCCGTTTCTTTGAAGGCCTTCTGTGACAGTGACCGGAATCAGGTGTCTCGTTAGTTCTGGCGTCTGACAGCAACTCCATCAGGAGCCTTCCCAGTTGTCCTTTTCTCCTTTCCAACTGAAAAAATCAGGTTGGGGTCACCAGTTTGTCGTGTACAAATTTTTTCAGAAGGAAGTACAGGAGAAATATCTGTCATTTAAAAGATTTAATTTGCTTTGGCAGTTGAAATTACAAGTTTCAGTGCTGGACCTCTGTGTGAAATCAACCATCTGTCTTCACACAAAGCATGACCCTCATTGCAGTTTTTGTACTGCGACAATAGCAAATGATTATTATGGCTATCTTCTTCCAGAAGCAACGTGGCAGTCATGCTGTTTCCTTACAAATCCTCTCTGTTCACGTCCGCTTCTTGTCAGCCTTCTATCTGCTCCTTTTTCCTGGAATCAAAAAGACAGGCATAATAAAGGCTCTCCCTGCCCAGCCTTTATTATTTAATATTACTGATTCTAATATCTAGTTCAGGACATTCGTTTGGACTCCGTTGGCCCAGAGAATGGCCCAAGTGTGATATGCAAGCATGCTGCAAATTCCTCTACACTGCTGTGTCAACCCCCAATATGTCAGCCAACTCATAACGCTAGACGAAGCTTTTGACCCTAAAGACACATTTATGAAAACACTGCCTTGTGTACACAAAAAAATGAAAACTGCTTTTTAAAATCATTTTCAACCCTAACAAAATACACAGTAATTTTCCCCCTTCCAAAACTTTTGAGTGCCCTTTGTAGTCGACAGCTGGATTTTGTTGTGGATTTTTTTGCGACATATATACCTGTATACACTGGACATATACTCACATATATACTATGTAATCATATATGCTCGTATACACCATATATGCCTACACTGGAGTGTATAATGGAATCACTGTGATAAGCATTTAACCTACATGATTGAATCACAAGAGCCATGTATTTAGGTCAAATATTATCTACAATTATATTGATGAAGCTCGTATCACTTGTTTTGTTTATTTTTTTATTCTTTCATAATCACATGTTGATTAATACTGTTTGAAATGTAGTAATTAGGATAAATAATGGGAATAGTGCTTGGATAGTTGTGTAACACAAGTGTCAGAAATGAAAAACGAACAACGTGACTCAACAACCTAGTACCTTTTAGTGCTGTCAGAGGATGAGGTGGAGGATGGTCACACCTCTGAGCTTTCTCAGAGGAGGACAGCTTTTGAGGACCCTGAGCAGAGACAGTGTGACAGCGCCTAACATCCATAAGAAGAGGAACTGTCTAATATAGGAGACACAAGATTGTAGCCATTACAATATCATCTCGAAGGAGATTAAGAAAGCTTTTTAGTTGAATACACACAGTTTGATTCGTTTTTTATCCAGTTGATTTATGCAATTTATGTAAATCTAGACGTCTCCTGTCTTTATCACTTTACTTTCAACTATAATGAAATTGCGTTGATAATTTTCTAGGATGAAACATAAAAACAGGACAAGCAGTCCATCGAAGTAACAAATGATCTCTTGATGGGGGGAGGAGAATAAAGCCCCTTCAAAAGTCAGAACTCTAAAACAGAATGCATGTTGCAGGCTGCCATGGATAGGAGATCTCCTTTTCCCCTCACAGGCTGGTGTCCAGTATGATAGCTGAGAAACCAAATCCCACAACTTCACAGCCCTACTTCTTGTCCATAATGGACTTCGGGCGTCATCATTTTGACTCTGATCAGGCTGCTCAAAACCTGGTGTGTCCTTCATCCGAACTCTCACCTTCTTTCTTTGATATCTGGCCCTCCTCCACTTCATCTCCTGGCAGCTCTAAGTATGAGTCCACTTCCACATTTCGGAGTAAAATTCCTTCTACCTGACTCAGCCAGCATATCATTCTGTGATAAGACAAGACCTAATGTCCACCTCAAGAGACAGAAGATAAAAAAAGAATGACAAATTTGAAAAACAAAACAAAACAATAATGCAACATGTTTCTTTGAAATACAATACTTAGATTATCTTAAAATAACAGAAAAGACACTGAAGGAGAAACACAAGGGAGGCATAAAATACAAAATGTAAACAAAACTATAAGCAGGAACAAAGAGCTTGAGTCTAATTATAAAAAGGAAAATAGACAAAGAAAATAGAAACACTAAAGAAACTAAGACTATATATATACTGAAATCAAAACTTGAACAGAGAAAAACACTAAATCAAAGACTCATAACAATTAGGCAGTTATTGACTGTAAAGGATTTTCATCCAAGTATTTATAAAAAAAATAATTAGATTCAGTGTGACGTTCGTTTGTACAATTACTTTTGAGTCTGTCTAAGTGACTTTTGCACCTTTGGCAATGCAAAGTTGACCACCTCTACATTATCTTTGTGCAGTGGTAACCAGAGACCTGAAGCTACAGCAAGAAGAAGAAGTGCAAACCACATCATATCATTAAAAAGAAAATCAGAGCAAAATACTGGTTGTGGAACACCACGTTGCAACAATCAACAAGCTCCTCAACAAGCCTTTCAACCCCACCTTTAAAAGCTAGGAAGTAAGATTTGCACCAACCTGCTCCACTAAATGTGGAAATAATTAACAAAGGTCTTCCAAAGTTGATATTCTCAAGCTCTCTTACACTCAGGCATTTTTACACAGCAAGCCCTCCTTAGTGACTTACAGTAAGTGCAATCACAGAGCTTGGTGGTTATCCCTGAGGGTGTAGGGTCTATATATGGACATCCTCTTTCCCTCTACATCCCAGAACCAGACCTCACTTTCCTGTTTAGTGAGAAAAGAAACTATTCACTGTCAGAGCTGACCAATCAGCAGACATCTACTCAAATGTCTGACCAATAAGCCTGCAGACAGAAAGAGAAAGTAACCCAGTGTATATAAGAACTGCCTTCATGGCAGTTTGGTTAGCAGACATGTGGTACAGCAGAGAGCAGCGCTTGACAGGGAAATCAGGAGCTATGAAGCGGCTGGCAGAAAATATTAAGGTGCTTTACATCGCCAGTGACTGTATGGAGCCTTATGTTGAGGTAAGATTACTCTGCTGAATGTATTCGTGTTAGGAGGTTCTGTGGAGGTTCAAATGTGTTCTGTCATCATGCATTGCAGTTTTGTTGCCATTCAATAGTTCTGGTTTTGTGGTTTAAATGATTTGCAACCTTTGTACTTAAGGCCATTAAACTTATATATGTAATGCAGTAAAAACTTCCCAAATAACAAATAAAAGGAGAGCAGTGGATAGCAGTGTAACATGATGACACTTTTTCTGCTTGCCTCCTTCAGATCATCACAGTGAAAGAGTCCAAACGCTGCCAGAGTCTGTGCAGCTCAGACGCCTCCGAGGTGGAAGAGCCCGAGTACCTGCTGGAAGTTGATGATGATCTTCCTGTCCTCACTGACCAGAGTCATCTGCTAGATGACTATCACCTAGAAAAAGTAAATAACACTCATTTATATATATGTGTGTGGATCACAGCTATCAAAAACAATCATCTAAACCAGGGGTGTCAAACTCAAATACACAGTGGGCCAAAATTCAAAACTGGAACAAAGTCGTGGGCTAACGTTAATATTTATTGAAATATATTTATTCCTCCAGATATAAGAATGAATCTTTTCTTATGGACTCAAACACGTTTTGCTGAAAAACTGAATATGGAACAAGCAAAGCTTAATACTAAACAAGATATATATTAGCTGTATAATACCAGTAGGCCAGCTCTGATAGTAATTTGGTATGGCTTCGCGGGCCAAATGTAATTAGGCTGCGGGCCAGAGTTTGACACCTATGATCTAAACAATCGTACAATTGTTTAGATGATTTTCTGCGTCACCATCTCCAAATTTACAACTAAAATTTCACAACAGTCATTATTTATGACATAAGCGGCAGCATTGCCTGGAAGTTGTGCTCAGACCGTAAAGTTTTTTATGCAAATTGTAGACAGTCAAGCAGAAGAACAGTGTTGATTTTAGATGGAGTGACGCATTAGTCTTGTCAGGACATGATCTGATGAGCAACTCTTTGTCAAACAGCTTGCTGCTCAAATGCCAGCAAGGACCCGGGGTTATCAATGGCAGCTGGTCTACAGCACAGCCGTCCATGGGAGCAGCCTGAAGACTCTGTACAGGAACATGGCTGAGGTGGACAGCCCTGTGCTGCTGGTGGTCAAAGACATGCACAAAAAGGTTTGTATCCTGCTCTTTAGTCTCCAGCACTTTTCTGTACCAAGAAAATGAGACGGATTCCTCCATTACCAGCATCTCCTTTAACAAACTGGTGTCTTGGTGTATTTTCAGGTGTTTGGGGCTTTTTCTTCAGATCCATTCAGAGTCAGTAAATACTGCTACGGTACTGGAGAAACCTTCTTGTTCAGCTTCAATCCCGACTTCCAGGTAAGAGTTGAACTTTTATTAATGTTTTACCTCTAGTCTATTTACAGGATGATTTTTCATGAAATTATTTCACTTATTGTAGAAATCTGCACAGAGTTTAAGATGTTTTTATGTCTTTCTTATCTAGGTATACAAGTGGAGTGGGGTGAACTCGTACTTTGTGAGTGGGAACTGGGATTCATTGCAGCTTGGTGGAGGAGGGTAAGTTATGCAGTTATTTATTTATTTTCCTATCAGTGAGTTTTCAAAGATCTGATATTAAAGTTCTATTGTTCTCTCTGTCTTTAGGAGTGGCTTTGCCCTGTGGCTGGATGCTGATCTGTACCGTGGTTCAAGCTTTTCCAGTCCGACTTTTCACAATGCACCTCTCTCCACAAATGAGGACTTTATTGTACAAGACCTGGAGGTCTGGACTGTGCAGAATTGACTGTGAACATCTAAAAAGCCGAGCTAAAATCAAAGCAGGACCTGTTGTTCTGTGTGGAGCTCCCAGACTTCAAGGCGTGTGGGCCGTTTAGCCACTACTGTACGTATCCTGATGGAGCGTCTGCTGTCGTCTCTGCACATGGTTCAGAGTTCCTCTTGTACAGT